TTCAGGAAATCTGAAAATAAGAACAATAAACTATCGAGAATATCAAGATTGATGGAAAATAAATAATTTACTTCACATTCTGGGTGTCAAAATCATGAAATTCTTCTGGCAATGTGATAGCACTGTAAGCTGCTTCAAAATTCTCTTTTGGAAGGTCAACTAGTCCTGAAAGAAATTAAAAAAACACATTCAGTAGGCAATGATGCTATGTAAGATAAGAAACTCCAAATTAAATCTCTATTTTCTCTCACTGGCCTACTGCTTAGCCTCCTAATTGGCTTCTCTGTATCCACTCCTGCCCCTCTGCAGTCCATTCTTTACAAAGCAGCCTGAGTGATACTTTAAAAAAGTAAATCAGATCAGATCACTTCTATCCTTAAATATGGTTCAGTGACTTCCTCAGTGACTTCCAACTGAATTTAAATAAAATCCAAATTTCTAATAGGAAACTGTGTAACCCTACGAACCCACTGGGTATCATCTAATGGTGCTCTCCCTCTCACTCACTATACTCCAGCCACACTGGCCTTTGGGCTTCGTGAACAGGTCAAACACTTTTCCACCTCAAGACCTTTGCTCTTGCTGCTGAGAATGTTATTCCCTCAGGGGCTTCTTATATGGCTGGGTACTTCTCATTTTTCAAGCCTGAGCTTAAATTCTATCCCCTCAGAAAGGTTTTTCCAAACTATCCTAACTGAAGTGAATTTCTGTTATTTCCTATTGTTGTGCTCTATTTCCCTTCATAGTACAATCACAATCTATAATTATTTTAGTAATTTTTAAAAACTGTTTTATTACCTGATTCCCTCACCAGACTGAAAGAGACCTTATTTATCTTGTTTGTCCTTGTATCCCACAGCCTAACATCGTGTTTGGCCCAAAGAATGGGATCAAAAATATTTGTAGAATATATAAATGAAATAATGAATAAAAACAAATGAACCATACTTGATCTGAGTATAAAACTACCTAGAAATTCTACAAATATTCTAAATAAGAGGGAGAAAAAAAGATAGCTGTCAATCCTGATTCAACAAATACTGATTGAGGGAACAGTATGTGGAAGGCACTAAGACAGAGATTCAGAAATTCAGAAAAACACTATGACAAAGACCTGGCCTTCAAGAAGCTTGCAGACTTGTGAGAGAGACAAGGCCTAAATAACCATAATACAAGCTAGAAAATGATGCATATCTTAGAAAGGGAACAGATTCTATGTAAATTAACATTTGAAGTTGTTATAACTCATGTAAATCTCTAGCAGTTTGGAATGCCTAGGGATTTTCTATAATAATTCATAAATAGCATGCTAGTTAGAATCCTGAGCATTCTGAAAACAATGACCATTATAGATATCTAGGTTTTGTCAATTACACTATTCTAATTTCTCTTGTAAAGACAAAAACAGATACAGCCAACTAACCAACCAAAAACAAAACCGGTTGCCCCACAGTGAACTGCCCCATAGGGTTTCCAGGGCTGTAATCTTTGCAGAAGCAGATTGCCAGGATCTTTCTCCTGCAGAGCGGCTGGTGGGTTCTAACCGCTGACC